TTCGTGCCTGTAGTTAGTTCCCATCTCCAAATACTGCTCCTCAAGCACGTGAAGGATAACGTTTAAGGCTGAATCCTGCTGACGCCTGCAAAATCTGTGGAGCCTGCAATGTTGACAGGATCCTACGCTAACTTTATTTGTTGAGTGCGACCGAGTCTATCCCTGAAGGAGGCTGCTCGGGAGTATGGCTTACGTGACAACCGATGTTGTGCCATCCCTCCTCGTGGTGCTGGAACCCCTTGAGACTTGTGATATGCTCGACCAATTGGAGCATGCTACAGATGCAGCCCTGACCGTAGGTAGACCTCCAGAATATCCAACCTGGTATGTCTAGGCATCCGAAAGGGCTAGATAATGACACCCACATTGTTCCTATTTTCAGATGCAGTGGCATATCAAAACCTTTGTAGTGGAATGCGCATGTACCATTGACATAAGATTGTGACAGATGGCCATGTTGATAGGGATCATATCAAATAGGTTAGAAAAATCTATAAGTATATGCAGGAGGCCTGTCTATGGTCTCAAAGAATTTACTGAGCTCGAGGGTCAAGTCTCATCGGTGTTTGCGACCATACCATACAATCTTTCTATCAAGCACGTCGAGCTAGGAGACTATACAATGTCTGCCTCACCTTCCACCTCTTCGAGCAGTCCAGAAGCCCACTCGATTCCTCCTCATGAAACACTGACAACCAGTAGCCTTTCCGGTCCTAGCAGCATCGCAAGTGAAGAGGACTCGGCCACCACTACCCAAGTGACCTTGACAAACACCAGCCAAGGTAACTTCACGGAGAACCTACAAGGAGATGGCTCGCATGGCCTTTGTGATACTGGAGGCACGCTGAGTGCCAACATCTCGCCTCCTTCGGCCCCATCAACGCTGAGTCCGTCCTCAACCATGAAGCCGGGACTATCCGTGGCTTCTACTATGGAGAAGTCAGTCATCTCCAGAGTTACTACTACAATGAAGAAGAAGAAGGCTCAGCGACCGCTGAGTCGAATCAAAAGCATGCAAGCTGGCTTGATCACATGGTACCAAGAGTTCTATTTACAATTCTCCATGGTCGGATTGGCATTTCTAGGCTTCTTCGCGGCTCTTGGCCATCACCTGTACAATGCGAGCCTGAACGGACAGGAAGTCTCGGGCGACGCTCAATGGCCGCCGAGGTACGGAAGTGCCCTCGCCTTGTTTGTCAGAATGGTCTTGGTAGGATCTGTTCAGATCGCATACAAACAGCAAGCCTGGGTCAGATTATCTTCAAACCCAATTACCACACGTTAGGCACTGACATGGTTTCTGTTTAGCTTGCTGTGAAACAAAGGGCATTGAAAGTCTCAACATTGGACGCTATGTTCGCTGTAAGTCATCATAAGTCCCTCCCCGGTGTGTCCGTCAATTCACCTGCTCTTGTTTGAGTGCGGCAGCTTACTCTATCACTTGTCAGGTCTATTACGATCCGTTCCAGTTCGCCAATATTGAGTTTCTCTTGAAGACAACGCTACCCGCAGTACTTGCCGTTGTCTCATGGTATGAATATCCTGCCTACCATACGTGTAGCACCTATATCTAAATATATCGCGATAGGGCATTACCACTCTGTGCAATCGCATCACCATCTACTCTCATCACTCGAAACGGGCACCAGATAGTCAACACCACCTGCCCAAACGTTCCAGTTATGAATTTCACGAGAGAAATTGATTACACTCTTGAAGGGGCTGATGACAATCTGTCAGGTCTTGCTTATTGGAATATCAACTCTGAAAATGAATACTGGTACACTGCGCCATCTATGGAGTTGGAAAGGGTTTTCACGCTGTCGACACTCTCAACAACTGGTCCACTCGCACCCGCCAACCCATGTCCATCCGGAACCAATTGCACATACTCTATTAAGTTCGACGGTCCGGCCTATGGATGCGAAGACCGGGCAGATTTCGGCGGGCCATACCAGCTCTACAACAAGTCGCAAATAGCGCCCGCCGGAGATTTGCTATACGCCAGCTACTCATCCTTGCCTATGGGACCCGAGGATGAGAACGGCGAGCCTCTTATGTGGTACAATATGAGCGAGTCCGATCCCGAGGTGGGAGTCTTCACAGGTCTCCCCTCGCTCTGGTTGGGCTGGGCTACAGGCATTCCCGACGGGCCATCGCTCTGGAGCAACCTCACTAGTCACATTTCCGAGTGCCAGATGTACAGTGCCACATACTCATTCACCGTCACCTTTGCAAGCGGCGACATGTTGGTCAATAACAGTGCGACGACACTCAACGGTCTGCTTTTGCCCCCCGGTGATACGAAAAGTCCCAGTGAGCGGGATTATCTACAGTTCGGGTAAGTGGATATCTTGAGGTTCCCTACAAGCGGAGTGGCTGACATTGAAAGGTAGGTCATACCATGCAACGGGTAGCCTCTTCCGAAACCTGCTTTCAGGGAATGTTACCCTGGGTGAGGACTCCGAGATAGGCCCCTACGCGATCACCTACACCGATGCCACCCAGACCGACCTCCTCGAGCGCGACAGCCAGCTTCCAACCTCCAATAATCTGGCTGCAGCCATCGAAGATATGTATCGAAACGTCTTCTTTTCCATGATGTCCGACGTCTTGCTTCACGACCGGCGATTGTCGACGGTCCCTTGCAGCGTGACCTCATCGTTGTTAGTGTGGAGTTATGAGCCATTCTGGCTGGCTCTGTCCTATTTACTGGCGGTTGGTGTAACGATCATTATTGTCTTCATAGGTATGCATGGCTTCATCAACAACGGGTATGCAGCAGATGCCAGCTTTTCCACCTTTATGGCTACCACACGTAGCAAGGATGTTGATGAGCTTTCGAGGGATTCCTGCCTAGGTCAGTGGCCGAAGAACAAGGAGTTCAAGGAGACCAGGCTCCGATTTGGGGAGGTAGAGACAAACAGGAGTGACCCTCACGCTGCTTTCGCTTTCCCCGGAAGTATCAAGGGGTTCGACAAGAGGAAGGGCTATGGCAGACGAGTGGAGAGCATGTAAAGTGTGCCCTGAGTTCATATAGTGGTGCGATTGGGGGTTCGAAGGTGGTCGGAGTCGTATAGATCTGTAGACAGTTTTATTGAGCTTGGGGGTGGAAACACGGGTCAAGGCAAGAGAAATGTATTTTACTGTGATCCTAATGAACCTCAGAAACCTCCAATGCTTTGACCACCGGAAGACCTACAACAGATCACCTTGACGTCTGGACCATCGCTCTATTAGGCTCGAAATGTGGCAGCCCCCACCTAGGTACTACGAGGTTGCCAATGCCTGTTCTCTTTACATTTGTCTCACCTGAACCCAAACCCCTTGTGCCTATTGATGATTGGGGGCTTGGTCTAGCTGTCTGACAGTTCCCTAGTACCTGTAGAATGCGAGGGAGCCAATTGCTGCAGCTCTTGGGCCTGTATCATCAGAAACCCCGCACCATCGATATCATAAGATGTGACGTTCTCGCTCTGAGGAGGTTTAGTAGGTCTACTCCTCTACTCAGTCTCAATCGCTTACAGGCATTCCAGAATGGCGCAACCTAAAGTTGCCGCAGAGTACAACTCCTTCGCCTCCGACTATGAGGCTTTCATTGTTAATGCCCCGATCGGTCTCCTCGAGACCGAGCTTTTCTTCAGGGCACTCGGCGATCCGGCTGGACTCACAATCCTCGACCTGGGAGGTGGCACGGGTCTGCGAGCTCGGCAGGTCGTTGAGCGCGGGGCCAAGTCCGTCGATGTGGTTGACTTCGCTGCGGGAATGCTCCACGCCGGAAAGAAGGAAGCAGAAATGGCCGGCTTCGGTGAGGTCATACGCTGGTATGAGGCGGACGTGTCCAAGCCGTTGAGTGTAAACCTCGAGACGTCCTACGATATCGTCCTGGCGAACTGGGTGCTCGACCATGCCGGCAGCGAAGAGGACTTGCACCAGATGCTCACTAATGCGACGGCCTACCTGAAGCCCGGCGGTCGATTCGTCTGTGTCCATACTCGCGACCCTCGCAATCCCGTTTATAAAACTAAGAAGTATGGAATCACCTTATCCAATATCGAGCATATGCCTGGCGGACTGAAGTACTGGGTTACCCTGTACGGCACCGATCCGCCGGCTGAGTTTAGCGGGACATCTCTGGAGGTACTGTACAAGGAGACCTTCGAGTTGTGTGAGAAATTTGGATTGGTGGATCTTCAAGTTGTTCCTTTTGGTGACGCGCAGCTGGTGAGGAACGATGCGGAGTTCTGGAAGGAATGGGTTGAACAGCCGACCATGGAGTTTTTCACGGCTCGGAAGAATGACCAGTAGCAAGAATGTTGGGATCCGGGGGGTCGATTGATCCATGAGAAAGACTCTCCCACATATATAGTAGGCAACAACGTGAGCGAGCGAAGACTATGTGATGAACACGGACCGAGTTGTAGTGCCGGCAAGGCGCGGAATCTACGGTCCTTCACAATGCTCAGACTCATATGTAGCACTTTCAAAGCCTGGTGATGAAGTCTAAGCTCCACATAAGCAGGATTAAATATAGGAGCAGTAACCATCGAGGCGGCTGTGTAATGCCACAACCAAAATAATCACCAAAAACCTAGACAGGTGATGTGGCCTATAACTGGCCGTCAACCTGACTGTAGATAGCTTCATTTCTTCCTCTCTTTGGAATCAGACCTTTTGAAGTCATTTGACGATTCAGTTCTCACGCGTACGATCGTACACCCGGCCTAACCAACACTTACAATTCTATATTATGATTCTCACCCAATCAGACTATTTCGGGATTGAAGTGGTACTGTCTCACTTGATTCGGGTGTATAATCCTCCTGCCAAAATGAGGAGTGAAAGCTTCTTGGAGATGCCCGTCTACGATTTACATTATTAGGAGCTTATAAGTCTATGATGATGCCTACTACCCAATCTCCTTATTGGCTGTTATCGATCGGTATCGATGATAGCATGGCCAAAAGATATTCGTCAGAAAAAGTCAAAAAATATTCAGATGTCCTCGGTGAGACTCGAACTCACGACCTTTGGATTGGATCTCTTAATGGTTGCCCACTAAGTCATACATGATATGAGACCAACGCTCTAACCAACTGAGCCACGAAGACAGATATCCAGTTTGAAAATAGAGGAACTATAACTAGTCAACAACTGCCGTATGCTGGATAGCTGAGGGCAAGCCCTCAAGTGAAGGACCCAGAGATAGCATTAGAGTCGGCGAATCATTATCGAGGTGCAGGGATGAAGAGGGGGGGGGGGGGTATAAAGAGATTCATTTAATCAAAGCAGTGTGAGAGAGACAGACGAAATGAGGTAGGCATTCAGCTGCTTTGATCACACGCTGATCATTGTATATTGGGTATCAGGTAGGTCTGTTGAAGTAATCTCCTGTTAATCGACACAGCAGTCTATTAGAACAAATCCAGTAACTACTCGTAGCCTAGTAACTGCGCGCAAATTGGCACACAACGAGCAGTAGAACGCCTGATCTTGGCAGCAACCTTGTAGCATGCAAGATCACATGCATGCAACATTCGATAACCATCAATATGGCTGCATTGGGAATTGATAATGGCAGCCGGGCTTGACGGCCGGCGTCCCGGTCAGGCATGCCCGTCCTAGTATGTACCTGCCTATGTACCTGAGTAATTGGTATATTTTGAGCACATCGATGCTGCCTCTCGTACTTTTAAGGGCTAAGTTTATTATCACGGCTCCTTCGGCTGTTTAGATATTCCGAGAGTTCGGTGACCGGATCAACACTTCCCGACAGTTGGTTTTGTTCACCTCTATGAGACCTGGAGTAAAGATGAAAGTACTCCCCTAGCATTGGTCAGAATCACATGTGATAAAACATGCTTATCAGCAATAGCCTAGGAATTCAGGTTTCTCGGGAGAGTGCTTGGATTTTCCTCAATCCTGAATGCCAAGCCTGTTGGTCGGACGTATCTGCAACAGTCTCTGTATTCATATACTAAGTACTCGGATAGGATACTGCCAGGATTACGTCTGCTGATTGTTCACAGATCAATCAACCGTTATAGGAGAGTCGTGTCTGGGCGATGTAGGTCGCGAAATTATTCTTAACTAGCTACTACCCTCTGAGAGAAATGTATCAACTCTCGGCTTCCTTCAGACTTACTCCCCACGTTTATAGGACCGCCACATGATTTCCTGGGAATCGCCTGTGGGGTACGAGCATCGAGAGCGTGTTGCCGGGCCCTGAGTGGAGTCATGTCAAGCTTATCTTGTCAATGTGTGGCACGAACAGATAAGTCGCCACCCAGGGACAATGACTTGGTCTAGATCGAGGAACGAGCGGGCAAATGGTTATCAAGAGAGGAATGTTACATTGCCGCATGCAATAATCTGTCGTGTTGTGCTTAAAGATGTTAGCCGCCCCTCATCTGTTTGTGATACCGCATACTCGTCCAGATGTCCGGCTGCTTGTGTTTCGTCTGAAGAATAGTTGGACCGTCCTATGTTACCCGGCTTAAACCTCACTACCCCAGAAGTACATCGCTGGTTTGTCAAAATGGGTGATATAAAGCCGTCCGGCGTGTCTGCCCTGCCTGTCCGGGAAAAGCAAAGTGCTATCGACACCACTGTCGACGTTGACCAGGCGGCCACAGACCTGGAACAAATCAAGAAAGCCCACCAGTTCGACCCCAATCTTCCCCAAGAGAAGCTCGACTTCATCAACAAGGCGCTACGTGATGGCGACTCTGGTGAGATCATCGAGGCCGAGGCGCTCTTCACAGAGGATTCGCCATATGAAGAGGTCCGAGCTGCCGTCAGGAACACCGATGGCGAAGAAGTGGCCAATACAGTCCGGGCCTGGGTATTGGGCATGTTCTTTGTCACTATCGGGAGTGGCCTGAACATGTTCCTAAGCATGAGGAGCCCTGCGATCAACTTTCCCTCCCTGGTCGTCCAGTTGCTGGTCTATCCCATGGGTTGCTTCTGGGCGAAGGTCGTGCCTACCAGGGTATTCAACACCTTCGGCGTGCGGTGGACTTTCAACACCGGGCCTTTCACAATAAAAGAACACGTCGTGGTTACCCTGATGTCTAATGTGAGCATTGGATACGCGTATAGCACAGATGCTCTTTTGGCGCTCCAAGGAAAGCCGTTCTACAACATCAATCTCGGATGGGGATTCCAGATTCTGTTCACTCTGAGTTCCCAACTTATTGGAATTGGGCTTGCTGGTCTGTCTAGACGTTTTCTGGTCTGGCCAGCGGCGATGATCTGTACGCATACTACGCCATATTTGCTAAGCGGATTTTCCTTTTCCGATGGATGATTGGAGATCCATGCAAGCACAGCAGGTGTAATACTGACTTGATCATAGGGCCAAGTCAGTTCAGCAGTACTTCTCTCTTTTTCGCACTACACGACAAGAGCAGAAGTGACCGAACGCAAAGTAACGGTTGGACCATCAGTCGTTACCGGTATTTCTTCTATGTCATGGTCGCTATGTTTTGCTACTACTGGTTAGTTCTCGCATATAGACGTTTATGTTTCCAAAGGATGCACTAACTTCAGGCCTCAAGGATACCCGCTGTGCTTTGGCAAGGGCTCTCTGTATTTGCCTTCGTCACCTGGATCCGGCCCAACAATGTTGTTCTCAACCAGCTTTTCGGTGGCTTCACTGGGCTTTCTCTCATTCCAATCACGTTTGATTGTGAGTATTTTCATACCCGGGCTTGTCCAGAATACTATGCTAAACAGGAGAACAGGGACTTATGTAACGGCTTACCTCGGAGATCCGTTGCTTGCTCCCGTACACACTGCTATTTCGGAGCTGGCAGGTCTCCTCGTTTTTGTTATCATTGCTACAATTGGCATCACCTATTCGGGTGCTATATACAGCCAGTACCTGCCCATCAACACATCCCAGACGTACGACAATACACAGAGCAGCTATAATGTCAGCCGGATCCTGGGCAGCGGCTTCACCTTCAACCTACAGAAATACAAGGAATACTCCCCTCTATTCCTGCCACCAACGTTCGCGTTGAACTATGGACTGTCCTTCGCCGCGCTGACGGCTGCGCTGGTGCACTGTGGCCTGTTCCATGGCAAGGAGATATATCACCGATTGAGGGCGGCCAGGAGCCAGGAACCCGACGTCCACATGAAACTGATGAAAAAGTACACGGACGCACCAGAATGGTGGTACCTTATATTGTTCGTCATCTCGATGGCCCTAGGCCTCGGCACTGCCTTGGGTTATGATTCACAGCTACCGTGGTGGGCTTTCTTCGTGGCCGTCATCCTCGCCATCGTCTTCATGATCCCGACCTGTATCATCCTGGCTATTTCGAACTTGGCCCTTGCCTTGAACGTTTTATCTCCGTTCCTGGCAGGATTCATGATTCCCGGCCGTCCGATCGGTGTCATGATTTTCAAAGTCTACAGCACGATCGTCCTTGGCCAAGCGCAGACGTATGCTGGTGATTTGAAGCTGGGTCACTATATGAAGATCCCGCCAAGGATAACTTTCTGGTGTCAAGTGGTCGCAACCATCTGGGCTACCTTTGTTCAGATCGCTGTGATGAACTGGACGTTGGGAAATATTGACGGTGTCTGTGATCTGTAAGCTGTTTTCCCTCTTGATCCCATTCTCTCTGGTGGATCTTCCATTGATATTCTCCAAACAATAGTGAACAACCCGCCAAGTTCTCTTGTCCTAACGGTCGAGCTTTCTTCAGCTCATCAATTGTCTGGGGTGTCATTGGCCCTTCACGGATGTTCGGCTCCGGTTCCATCTATCAGTATTTCAACGTCTTCTGGGCCATTGGCGCCATATTACCCTGCGTCTTCTACATCCTCGTCAAGTTCGGCGGTCGTCTAAGCTGGCTCGGCCGCACACTTCATGCCCCCATAATGCTCGGCGCGATGGGCTGGCTTCCTCCAGCGACTCCACTGTCCTTCTCGAGTTGGGGAGTGGTGGCATTGTTGTTCAACCATGTCATCCGCAAACGTTTCCATGGATGGTGGAGCACTTACAACTATGTCACGGCAGCGGCTCTGGATGCTGGTTTGATCATTTCCACCATTGTCATTTTCTTTGCCATCACATTACCAAATGTTACGATACCGCAGTGGTGGGGCAATGTTAACATCTATGATACTATGGTAAGTCATCAGAACCTTAGTTACCTGCGCAAGTACTGTCTTCGAGTCGAGACTTGACTATCCCTGGTATGCTGATATGCGTATCTAATGAAATATAGGACTCCGCATATACAGCTATTCTTAAAACGGTCGGAGAAGGCGAGACTTTTGGGCCAGCGACGTGGTAAGCAGTCTGTTTGCATGAAGTGCACAAATAACCTGAATTTGCGATGTGGATGTGGAGATAATATCAACAAGTGGTAAATACATAGATGATCCAGGAGGCAACCGAATATGAGAATAAGGTGCATAAATTTGGAAAGCCACAATACTAACCGTCGACAACTCAAAGCAATTCGTGAACCATCTAGGGATTCCATAAAGTATATGTACGGCTGGGTAGGCGTCATTCTCGATAACTACCTACATGCGTACGCGTAAAATCACACATACCACTGGTGATTATCACGACTCCGACGAGTCATGACATCGTTGGCCCTGGCACCATAATCCAGGCAAACTGCCACGAGTTTGAGATCGACATAATATGGGCAATATGCATGTGCTTCTCATTGTAACAAATCAACCCGAATCAGCAAGACCTGGACAAGTTCTCGTCCACGTAGACCGAAGAAATCCACCCGTCAGTACCATAAGCCTACAGGCTGCTCCAGATGATGCCCCCTCACGCCCCTCTCACCCATTGACTCGTGCTTTCGTCTAGTTCATGCTTGCTTTCTACTTACACGACTCGGGGGGCCCTACCTTTAGATGCCTCACAAATTCAGTCTCCATCGTCACGCCTAGCCCTTGATTTCTCTGCTGTGCGTGATATCCAACCAGTTCTAGTCCGTGGGTATCTCCCTTTCCCTCCAACGCTCTCGTGTACTTGTATGATAAGCTCTGATCCTCATTTCCTATCATATACTATGTCCCTCGCTGTTGTCATGTGAAATCATTGCTTATCCCTTAGTCACCGGGGGCC